AGGTCTGTGATTCAACAGTCTTACACAATTCACAGCGCTCACCATAGCACATACCCTCCCCAATGTCTATCACCCAGCCACCCCATCCCTCCCACCCCCCACCCAAGTCACTTCTTAATCCAATACTTATCACCGTAAATGTTATTTACAGTTCCTTGGGGTGGAGAGGGTGGGGGGCATATGATTATGTCCTAATCATGAGGTTACCCAGACCTGAGTTCAAGTGCTGGTTCTGTTACTTACTAGCTGAGTGACCCTGGACCAATGATATAATCTTTCTTAGCCTCAATTTCCTCATCTTTAAAATATAATTATTCCTGTTACCTAAAGGATTGCTCTGATAATTAACAAAATACCATTTAAAAGCCCCCAGTACATAGCAACACATGGTAGGGATTCCATAAAAGTTAATTCAGTCTCCTTGTTCTGCTCTATGTACATACCACAGTGCCAAAAACTCAGGAGTTTTTCTGGTTTTGTCAAGCAACTAAAAATCCATAAAACTGAGTGGTTTCCAAATGGTTTTGATATTCCATACCTTGGGGAACCCATTTGGACCTTCTCCATCCCCAGAGTCAGGGTGACCTTCCACTTTGTACCTTGCAGATCTTCCTGTATTTGGCCAAGCATTGTTCAGAGTGAAATGGCTCGGTCATGTCCAGCAGGCTAGGAAAACACACCAGGATCAGTTTGCAGAGTTAGCATAAAAAGCAGGAAAAAGTTAGCTCTGGCAAGTGCTTTTACTTAGATGGATTTATTTTCCTCCTTAACCTTAAGATAAGCACTAACTTTCAGGTGTGGGGAGGGAGCCCTTCCTGCACACCTATCAACATATACCGTGAGGGGGTGAGTGGGACTTTCATTCTGGGTGGGAGCACCTATAGGACAGCCACTCTTGCAGTATCCCAGGGAGGACTGGATGGATCATCCTCAGGCTGCAGGCTCTGGAACGTTGATCGGGAAGAAAGGTGGCCCTCCTGCCACGCAGCTGTGCTGAGGTGGGTGATTAGAATGGGCCAGAGCTGCTTTATAACCAGATCCATCACTGAAGGAAGCACATTTGAAGGGAGACACAGAAGTTGAGGTATCTGAATGTAGCTTTGAGAGGCGCTGAAAGATCACCTGGCTCCCGCAGCATGCGCATTCTTCATCTTGTCTGTAGAGCATCTGCCTCAAAGAAGTGGAATTGGTGCTGGAAGGTGACCTCGGGCAGCACTTTTCAATTCCATTCTTTTTACTGTAGTCCTGTGCAACTGCCCAAGGACTGTACAATCTTTTCTTTTGTAGGTTGACGAGGGAGGGAGAGCTCCGCTCTCCTTTCACCATTTCTTTGCCGCTGATGATCAGGACAACCTCCAGAGAGATGCCATCATTAAGCTAAGTGCTCTGCCCAAATATGGCTGCATCGAGAACACGGGAACAGGTACCAGCAGTCGCTGGGCTGTAGAATTGTTCCGGACCTGGCAAGAAGGGAGGGCGAGGGGGAGGCACCTGCCTCCAATTAAACCTGGACGTGGGGGGAGCTAAAGAGGAATGGATCCAATTCAAAGAAACGGGAGGAAGGAAGGTTTCAGTCACTCCAAAATCCACTGAGCGTTTTCTGTGTGCCAGGCACTTTTTTAGGCACTAGGGATGTATCAGTAAACAAAACAAATAGAAACCCCTACTTTCACGTTGCCTTAGATCCTGGTGGGCGGAGACAGGAAGCCTAACAAAGGAGAAGACTGTGTAAGATGTTCGGACGCACATCAGTGCTATGAGAAGAAACAGAGCAGGGGAGGGGATCGGGAATGCCAGCAACAGGGAAAGGAAGGGCTTCTGGATGGCACTCAGAACTGAGTGTCAAGGAAATAAAAATGCCTGTCCTTCCGTTGTGAGGCAGCTGCAGTTTAGCTGAACCACAGCTGATGGCTCAGCTCCTTCTAAGGATATGACATGAATTGAAATGCATGCTGGTCTGCCTGTGACCCTCTCCTCAGCATCCCTCCCCCTCCACCATCTGCCCTGGACCCTCCACTGCCCCTGCTGGTTATCGCAGGGAAGGAGAGGCGAGAAGGTGTGTCGTGTCCACAGGCCCCCTGAGACCATGGTAACTGGCAGTTGAGACAGCTCCTGGCAGGTTAGCGTGATGCTGCCTCTGCAGTGAGATCTCTGAGTGCCGTGCTTGGCTCTAACTGGCATGCAGCTAGCAGTTCCCACGGAGAGGCCCTTGGCTGAAGCTGTCTGTGACCAGCATGGTGCCTGGGATTTGGACCTAGTTACCAGAAATCCATGTAGCCGTGGCCATGTTTTCCGCCAGGAAACCACGGGTCCTTTCCCCCATCTTGCCTTTCATGGCGTGCACTCAGATTTGTTTATTGCGAATTAGATTTATCTCAACAAATGTTTGTGCCAGAGACAAAGGATGTAAAGATGAGTGAGACACAGCCCCTGCCTTGAATGGGAGACAGAGAGGAAGGGTGATAAATGGCAATCAATTTAAAATGCTGGGACAGGGAAAGGGGCAAACGCTGAGAAAGTCCATGGGGCAAAACAATGAATTCTGCCTGAGAAGGCAGGAAAGGCCGAGGAAGGTGACATTTGTGTTGCAACTTGAAGGGTTAGTGGGAGTCTCACTGTGGCCAGAGGGAAGAGCATGGGCAAAGGTGGGGAGTCATGAAAGGGTAGTTGTCCCCCACCTCTACTTCTCTTCTCTCCAGGTGGTTTCTTACTAAGCCTTCCTAACGTGGTTTGACGTTAACCTGGAATGCCTGCAGAGGAGTATTTCAGTGGTCTAGAAGTCAAATTTCTGGCAAGCTCCTGCTCTCGAAACAGTGATTCTCAAACTTTAGTGTGCATAAGACTCAACTGGAGGGCTCATGAAAACACAGTTTCCTGAGCAGCAACCCCAGAGTTACCCTATGCAGAGGCTGGCGAGGCCCGGGCATTTGCTTCCCCCCCAGCCCCAGCTCATAGGCGATGCCACCGTTGCTGGCCCAGGGACCACATTTGGAGAATCACTGCTTTATGTCAGTATGAACCTGGAAGTAAGGAAAAGACGTTCAGGGGGCTGGTGGCAGGGGGTGGCAAATAATTATCCCAAGACAATTTAAGGACTCCAGCCCTTGCTCCATGGGTTTCAGCACTGAGCCTGTTTTGTTATATGAAACTAGCTATCTAGATACAGAATCCAGCAGATCAGCATAATGCCTTTTTAAAAATATTACAAGAAGCAGCTTTAACTTCTTCCCAGCAAGCCGGGAAGAAACAGAATAATGATATTGTGAGGTCTAAAATCTAACAGCATGGACTCTACGTTCATTTAGTACTAGCACGAACGGAACAGACCCACCTTGATTACCTCGAGGGCGTGCATCACCGTGTTCCAGCACAACGCAGTAATAGATGTTCATAACATAGCCTGCATGCATCAAGAACTATTTAATTTGCACATAGTATATTCTGCTTAAAAAGGCAAGGAAGCACATTAATGAGAATGATTTATGTGAAAAAATAGAAGGTGCAATTTTAAAACTGGGAGAGATTGGTGCTTAAAGCTTCAGTGACAGATTCACTTGTTGAATGGCTTGTTTCCCAATGACAGAAAATAAGTCATTTCTCTATGTGAGTGTATTTTTAGGCATCATTTAGTTTATTTGGCTCTTTCTGACCCAAATAAAGAAGCCACATTTCTCATATTTATAGCGATCAATGTAAAGGGAAATTACAGCACTTCCTTCTGGAAACACTGAACTGTGTGTGCTATCAGGGATTATCAGGTCACAGGTCACTCAGACTCCTCCATGCTTCTGGTGTCAAGAGGAACCAAATCCGATGGGTAAAATCTAAGACAATTCATGTCATTGAAGAAAAAACAACTGTCCTGAGTTTTTTTTAAGATTTTATTTATTTATTTGACAGAGACAACAGTGAGAGAAGGAACACAAGCAGGGGGAGTGGGAGAGGGAGAAGCAGGCTTCCCACTGATCAGAGAGCCTGATGTGGGGCTCAATCCCAGGACCCTGGGATCATGACCTGATCCGAAGGCAGACGCTTAACGACTGAGCCACCCAGGCGCCCCCTGAGTTCTTATTGCAAAGAAATTTTAAGTAACACTTTTTCAGTCCTAGTCTGAAAGGTTAACCAAAAAAATGACACTGTCTACAATTCAGGAAGTCAGTGGCCTTTTGATTTATGACCTGATCTTTGCAAAGGGCTATGGAAGAGACAAAGAGAAAGCCTTTGTTGCTTTCAGATCTTCTGTATACACTTTTCTTTGTTGGTATGTATCCAGGGGATGTTTGGAGACACAGGGGTTTCTTCTTCTCTCTTTAGAGGAAAATGTGGTAACAACTTAAAATCAATCAATTAGAGAGACTCAGACCAAGGAAGAGACAAGCCATCCATCATTTAGACAGTGTTTACTCTTCCCCTTGGCCTTTTCCAGTGTTTGGTTGGGGTTGGGTTGAAAAGTAGAGTTAACCAGAACCAGCTCTATCTCTGGAGCTCTGCATGGAACTTGAGCATCTCAGTGCTTGAATGGCACCTGAGCTGTGGATGGTCCTAGAGCATCGCAGTAGCCCTGGGGTACCATCCCAGGGGCTGAGCTCTGACCCATGGGGAGGTTTCCTTAAGGAACTGAGGTCAAATGAAAACACGCTTATTGAGATATCTCTTAGATAAAGTATAGTTAATCTTTTCTTATATAGAGAAGGAGGCTTCCTCTTGCACGGTGTGCTAGGCAGGGTGGTTTTGAAATTGACCAAAGCTTAAGGTAGAACCTTTGCATTTCTATTGTCACTTGTCCGAGGACTGACTTTATCACAGATTTCTAACAAAACAACCACTGATTTTTTTTTTTATTCTTGCTATGTAAAATAATATTCTGAGTGCTTTCATGCATATTATCTCATGTGATTCCCTGTGGAAACAGCCGGACAGGTGTAACCATGTGTAGATGAGAAATAGTAGGAAAATTGGGATTTGACCCTGAGTCTTGCATTTCTAGTCCTGTGCTCTTTCCATTCTCCATTTTATCCTCTAATGTATTTTCCTCTTTTGTTGATAATGCTGTCATGTTTTCTAGTTCAGCCTAGTAAGCAGGAATTGATGGATCAAGATAAAAGTTCTCTCTCTTTTTTTTTTTTATTCTTATGTTAATCCCCA